TATTGAATATTATTATTATTATTATTTTTTCCAATATTTTTAGAACAATTCATGTCCTCTAAAGAAATGATTATTATTTTTTTTAATAAAAAACTTACATTTAAAATTAACTTTAAACGAGGCGGTGACCATATTTCCCATAGCAATGACCCCTGACCTCTCCCTGTTTATCCCACTAGGCAGGTAATCCCACATCATTTTTTGCAAGGCTTGGGATATTGAGTTGAACGAATTTTTTGCCATCTCTAGTCAAAATGCCCAGCCTTACCCCATGTTTCTGCGTCCATTCAGGGTGGGAATTTCCCTACTTAATGGGGCAATCAAGTAGTGAGGATGCCATGGTACTCCCTTTGGCCTCGTTAGGTACCCGTATTTCCTCCTAAAATTATCGAGCAAGATTAGAGATGTGAGGGCCACTACGAACTGTTCCATTGGCATTTATCTATTGTAATGAATCGTATGACTAATAAAAGTGGAAGGTTGATTTGACTTTTGATTGGCGTAGATTAAAATCAGATTTTTAATAAATGAGGAAATTTCACAAAATGTCCATTTTTACCTAATCATTTGTAAAATTGTCTAATTTGAAAGAATTTAGACCATAATACCTTTATTAATAATTTATAATTCCACACTAAGACAAAAAATAGACATTTTACAATATTTTTATTGGTCAATAAAATTTTGAGACACAACTTGTCATATTAATTTCAAAAAGTATACATGTCAAATCACAATAAATGCTATGTTTTTCATTGATTCAGAAATATCGAAAACGACACTTTTAAATGTAGAGAAATGTTATGTTCAAAATGAAATATCATTCTAGACAAATGAAACGATGTTCAAATGTCGAGAATGACATATGAAATGTCGATAAACATTATTTTAATATAACTTCTCATGTAAGCCACTTCTCAAAATTCGTGACAAACTGATAAAAAAATCAAATGTCGAGAACGACATTTAAAATGTTAAGAATACCATTTCAAAATGTAGCTTTTCATTAAGGGCATACTAAACAAGTTGACACTAAATTTAACTGAGTGAACACTTTTTAACTCATATCCTTAAAATTGGACATTCTTAAAAATGCCCCTTAATAAATTTTATTAGAAGTTGATAAAATTTGACATTCAAAATTGTTGATCCCATAAAATATAAAGATTAAAATTAATTATTGACTTTCACTTCAATTTTTTAGTAGATTTTAATTTACACCAAACAAGGCTAACACTTTGTAAAATGTGAAGAACCTTGTTTGGGACTATAGTGCAATTTTTTCTTATTATATTATAATAAATAAATGTGAGGAAAAAACAAAAGAAGACGAAGACTAGAGCTCATCTATTTTCCTGTAGTCATACACTTTCCATTCATTGCTCTCTCTCTCTCTCTCTCTCGAACTCTATTTATAATGCATTTTATTTCTGGGGGCGTCGTGGTTTTTGTTTTACCTTTGCGTGTTTTACAGTTGAAGTGAAGAATTAAGGTAGAAACTTGAACAACTGAGCTGCCGTGGAATTATATTGTGTTTTTCTCAGGTCATAAAATTAAAGCAACGTCAATCGCTTTCGATCGAGGTATTTTTTCGTATTTTCCCTAATTTCATCATCGGAGCACTGAATTTTGTACAATTATGAGGTTGTTGTGAAGGTTGTTACCGTTTTTTAATTTGATTTTAATTGGGAGAAACTTAGCCGGTTTTCTTTGGTGCCTTTGATTGTCACAAAATTTTTAATTTTTGTTGTTTTTGAATAAAATCTTGCCTTTTTTGGGATGTCAAAAATCGAAGCTGAAATAGACTTATAGACTTGTATTGGCTGCAATTTATTGTCACCCTGACATATCATAAGGAAGAAAATGAAATGTGATATGAAAATTGGGTTTTGATTGTTTTACTTTGATTAAAGTTCTAACTGATTTGTGGTAATTCATCTACTAAACTTTAATTTTAGAGGCGTTATCTGAAATGACTCAACCACGAGAAAAGAAGTGTGAAAAGACCTTCACCTTGTGATAGAGAACAAGACGTCTTTCATCCACTCAATGATTTTTGTCTAAAATGTCCTCTACCTCTTCTTTGCTGAAGGGGGGAAGGAACGGGACTATGGCGCTGTTGTATTTGCTTCTTCATCCTCTCTATATCCTTACTCTGTAACTAGATCGACCACAAGCATCTCGTGGTTTGCTCTATGTATATTAATGGCCTCTTAAACAATAATGTTATTTGGGAATTTTATTTAAGAGGGAAAGGGAGGTGGACTCCTGTGTGGAAATAAGCCACATACGCCTATTTTTTGAAAGCATAGTTGGCTTGTTGGAGGATGATGGTGACGTCACCAAGATAGAAGAACTGCTGCGTGGCGGAAAATGGAAAAAAAAAAAAAAAGTACACCCGAAAAGAGAAAAAAGGAAAACGTTGACTTAGGGAAAATTTGTTAAATTGATAATGGCTTCTATAACCGTAGGGGATCATAACAAATTTTAATTTTATGCTTAATTTGTTTTGAGTCTCCAGGTGGATGGATTCTTTTCATGGTTGTAAATAAATTTTGTTTAGTAGAACATTTAAATGATTTTTTTTTTTGATTTGACCTTTTGTGATGCATTTTATGCTTTTTTTTTTGTGTTAGAGTTTTCGTGAGCGAGGTTTTTAGACTAAAAACCCTCATGCAGAAGATCTAAGAAAATCTTAAGCAATTGTGTTGGGAAAGGAAAATGGAGGGTTCAAAATTTACCGGGATTATAGACCTGAACTACGCCCCGGACAATTACAATCTCTCTCAAAATTTTTATCACAAGCTCAATGAGGGGTCAAACATGTCAATTGATAGTTATGGGAGCTTGCAGATGAGCAATGGTGGGGGCTCTGTTGACATGTCAGTGGACAACAGCAGTGTTGGATCAAATAGTTCCGGCACGCGCATCTTGCGTCATCAGGGCCTCAAACGTGTCAAGAACTATTCTGTTGCTGCAAGTGTCAATCGTGGAAGAGTCTCTCATGGGCTGAGTGATGATGCTCTAGCTCAAGCTTTGATGGACTCTCGGTATTCTACAGAGGGGCTTGGAAATTATGAAGAGTGGACGATTGACTTGAGGAAGCTTAACATTGGTCCCGCCTTCGCTCAGGGGGCTTTTGGGAAGCTCTACAAGGGTATTTATAATGGTGAGGATGTTGCAATTAAGCTTCTGGAGAGACCAGAGAATGATGCAGAGAGAGCACACTTAATGGAGCAGCAGTTTCAGCAGGAGGTTATGATGTTGGCGAATTTGAAGCATCCAAACATTGTTCGCTTTATTGGTGCATGCCGCAAACCAATGGTCTGGTGTATTGTGACCGAATATGCAAAGGGGGGTTCAGTGCGTCAGTTCTTGACAAATCGGCGGAACAGATCTGTGCCTTTGAAATTGGCTGTAAAGCAGGCCTTGGATGTGGCTAGGGGGATGGAATATGTGCATGGGTTAAATTTGATTCACCGTGACTTGAAGTCTGACAATCTTTTGATTGCTGCTGACAAGTCGATCAAGATTGCCGATTTTGGGGTTGCCCGTATTGAGGTGCAAACTGAAGGGATGACACCAGAAACTGGTACTTACCGCTGGATGGCCCCGTGAGTCTCTTCATTCTCCTTTCTTTCTTCTGCCTCAATTTTTCTTTATTTATATGACTCTCTGCATGGATTACTTTCAGGTTGCTTCAATTTTATTTTATTTTATTTTTAATTTTTTTTAAGCATTGATAAATTATAATGGTCCTTGTGAATATTTATTTTCTAGTTCTGCCAAACATGTCTCGTATTGAAGTGAGCTGAATAAAAACATGCTCTTGTTTGATTTTTAGTTGTTCTCTTGGACTTTGCTATGATGTTAAGGTTTCTTCCTTCCTCTTGCCTACCCCTAAGAAAAGGAAAAGGAAATTGGAGTGGGAATCTGTTTTTCCTTTTTATTCGTTAGCTGATTAATTGGGGTATGTCTCCGTTATATCATGCACTAATCTATTTCATGGCAGTTGTTCCTTATGCTTCTACACTCAGGCTGCCAGACGTCAGCTTTATTCAACAAGCTATAAAATTTTATGATGCAGTGGCTTCAGAAGACTGTATTCCCCTCCAGAAAGATGGGCAAAAGATTTGTTAATTTACTTTCCAAAACAGATGATCACATTGTTACCTTTTTGATCTTTGGTATTGGTACTTAGATGTATTGAAACAAACTTCTGATAACTCATTGACATCTTTGTCTTTTAAACATGAATGTTCTTTGCTGATAGAGATTCATCATTCATAATGTGCATTCTATGCTACTGAAGCCTGGTTTATCACCCTTTCCACGTGGACCTTCCTTCTTGTGTTACGAGTCTTATCAACTGAAACGCTTGCTAGTAATAGAATTGTGTAGTTGCAATTTATGATTGCTTCTCCATTACACATGAGAATATTTTCAATTTACATCTGTGGCAGTTCTACTTAAATAAATTTCATCAAAGCAATGCAACAGTTAATGTTCTCTCATTGAACTACT